GAGGGTATTGCGTCAGGCTGGTTTCACAGAGCAGCGTGAACCTCTCCCTTTCTACAGTGGGTGGACAACGGGCTGGGTCCTTGGGGTTTCAACAAATTTACCTAACGGTCCGTTACTAATTGGACCTTCACTTTTTTATTTGTTCTGATTCTTTTTTTTTGGCATTATTTATTTGAAAAGGAAACTACGAATTCAAAATTATGACCATTTTAAATGTATAAAAAAAGTAAAATAATTATGACTAAACTACGAATTCAAAAATATGACTATTTTAAATGTATAAAAAAAGTAAAATAATTATGTTAAATGACCTTTAATATTTTATAAACAACATAGTCATAATTATACAGCCTGCCCGATCCAAGTGGGAAGTCGGTCATTGAGTTTGGGCGAAGGCCTGGGCTCACTGACCCTTAAAGTGGAGGGTATTGCGTCAGGCTGGTTTCACAGAGCAGCGTGAACCTCTCCCTTTAATTTTTTTTCATTGAATTTGATTTTCAACTACAACACTAATTTTGTCCATAACTTTTTGCATGTAATTCAATATTTGACAAATTATGTCATTGAAAATATTTTCACAAAATCTACGCAAGTATACCTGAAGAAATTAATAAGAGGAAAAATATTCTGTATATTGAATTGGTTTGTGCTTACAAAGGTCTAACTCCCTTTATATAGGAAGAGAGTAAAGCATTTAAGTAACTTTTATTCCTACCATATTTCTATTCCTACTATAACAAGAACTAAGCAAACTAGGAAAGATGCTAAACCGAATCCCAAAGGGATTGAGTTTCCTTCTTTGATCTGGCTTCCTTCTTCTGTCGCCAACACCCCCCTCAAGCTGGAGCATGGGAGTTCAACATGCCTAGCTTGGACATCAAAAGATTGAACAAAGCAACAAAGCTTGAGGAAGCCGCTGCCATCGTTGTCCAAGTGTCATCTAGACACTTCAGTTTTTTTCTTCAACGGAGACGCCAAGCTTTTCGAATCTGCCGAATAATTAGTCGAGTAAAGGAACGCCATTCTTTTCGAACCTTCACCGTATTCGAACAAACAGGGGGAACACCATTCTTTTCGAACACCCTGAACGCCGACTTTTTTTATTGCCTGCTAAGGAAAGAGTTGTCTGTCTCTGTAAAACAACCCTTCTCGGACAACTTCTTCAAGATTGATGGTTGGGCGGGATTCCTCGACAGCAATGTTTTTCGTTGAAGGAGTTCATGATATTCTTTAGTGAGGGAGAACAATCAAAGAAAATCAAAAATTACAATAACCCGTCGGTAGGCATTGAATTTTGTATGCCCACCAGCAGGGGGAAGAAGCGTGTTTGAGGTCTCAAGAATTCAAAACTTGCTCCGATACCATGAAGAAATTAATAAGAGGAAAAATATTCTGTATATTGAATTGGTTTGTGCTTACAAAGGTCTAACTCCCTTTATATAGGAAGAGAGTAAAGCATTTAAGTAACTTTTATTCCTACCATATTTCTATTCCTACTATAACAAGAACTAAACAAACTAGGAAAGATACTAAACCGAATCCCAAAGGGATTGAGTTTCCTTCTTTGATCTGGCTTCCTTCTTCTGTCGCCAACAATACCAATATTACATATATAATTTTAAATGTCTTGCTTTTATTTTTCTTCAAAACATTTTGGAATCCAACAAGCTAAGCTTTTTTATTATATTTTTAGAATTTTTTTTAATGTTATACTTGTACTGTTTTTCCTTTCATATACTTTCTTTTTTATCTTTTCGTACGCTTTTTTTTCTATCATGTTTTTTCTTATTTTAGTAATGCATTCGTCTACTTTTTTTATTAATTCATGTACTTCATGCCTTTTTAATTTAATTGTTTTATTTTTTGGGTGCATTTAATTGGTACAATATAAAAAACAAAAAATTAATCATCCAAAATGGGGAACAAACATTACGGAGTAAAAACGAAAGAAAAAAAAAGAAAAACCCAAAAACATAATAAAATAATTTTTATTTTTTAAATTATTATTTTATGAAAGATAGAATTTAATTTTAATAGAAATAAGTAAATATTAAAAAAAAGTAAAAATATAATTATTATAGTAGATGTGACACTACAGCTGTAAAGTAAAGTGAGATGATGAATGCATTAGCAGTGATGTGATGCTAAGTGACTACTAATGTAGATTGTTCGGTCGTGAAGCACTATAGATAACCTTTAACATTCTTAACTTGTACTACTTTCTTCACTAAAAAAAATCCGCCAATGGTAAACATTATACTCCGTAATTTGTAACTCGCAACTCATAAGAATATTTTTACTCGAATTTAAAATTGGCTGGTGGATTATGAGGGTCAAATAAGTTTTACACTAATATCTTGATTCTTTTTTCATTTAAATAATTGTACACTAGGATTTTTTTTATACGTAGTAGCGTGTTTTTCATGTGTCACAGCTCACGAGAGATATTGCAGATGTTGTTACTCTAATACTCTAAAATAGAAATATCAGATCATATTGGAGATATTTAAACATTGAATATATCATAACAATATACCACTAAATTATTACTACTTCCTCCGTCCTAATATTAACTTCTCGGATTGACCAGAGGTGATTTTTAAGGAAATGTTAAAATTGCTTTGACTTTCCCAAAATACCCCTTATCCTCCACCCTCACATTCTCAATCACAGACATGAGAAAAAACCACCTCTTCTCTCCCTCGCTAAGATCAAGCACATACACAATGCAACCAAAAGGATTCATCGTCCTTTAAACATCCCAAAATTAAAGTCTCTTGAAAAATGAAGGTTAAAACAAAAAATTGGCAACTAGGGTGCCCAATTTGAAGATTCTTCACACAAAAACACAAATATGTACAAAAAAAGAAAAGAAAATATGAACTCTGATTGCCTACTCCACAGTAGTCATAATCATCGTCGTTGGCATCAATTCAGATCTGAGACCTGATTGCTCTCAACATGTAGCAGCTAGATCTGTGTGGCAAAATCTCGTCCCGGAAGCTTTGTTTGGGCCACCACCGAATCGCACTATGCCAATTTGTCTAAATCTGTGAACTCCTGAGACAAAAATGGAGTAAGGGATGAAGATGCGGCAACCACAACGATGTATAGAGCATAAAGGGGTGATGATGCAGACCAATTTAAACAAGAAAATTTAGGAGTTGAATGAAGAGTTAAGATATGGGAAAGAGGCAGAAGAGTGAGAGACAGAGTACTGGTGCTGAGAGAGGTGTGAAATGGTGAAAGAGAGGAGTTATTTGGGTGAGAGCCGTGAACTGTGAAAGATGGAGAAAGGTGGGTATATTAGTTAGGGGTATTAATGTCATTTGTTGAATAAAAAACTTTCCATTTTTAAGTAATGGGAAGATAGTTTTAGGACGACCCAAAATGGAAAGAAAGAAGTTAATTTTAGGACGGAGGGAGTATTTCTTTTGTCAAAAATGTCACAAACCATTTGGCTAGCATAGGCAAATAAGGTACAGTAACAATTCCCAACTTAATAATTCAAGACTCACATGGAAAGAGTGAGGCCATGCTCTATTAACTCCATTTTAACCATACCGAGTTCACCCAGTTCTGTTAAGACCGTGAAAGAAGCGGTGTTTTCTACTCCTCGAATGTCTTCGTGAGGCTCTTGACATAACATAGGGAATAAATTGTACCTGCAAATACTCACATTACATGGCTGGCTTTGCAAAACTATAATGCAGAAGATTGTAACTTTTTCATCGTTTGCTATTACTACGAGTGATATACTGTCTATTTTTTAATTTCGAAATTACTCAAAATAGAGAGATGATTTGTGTGTGTGTGTGTGTGTTTTCAAGTAAAATACCACACAGTTGTTCCTTATTCCATAGCCCTGAAGTTTAGCCCCATCATCAAGTAGCTTCTCATTATTATATGAAAAGCAAAACTTCTCCCAAACATGTTTCCTGCAAACAAGAACAATACATCTATGTCACTATGTGTAAGTAAAGGGCTAAAACTTCAAAGGACACTGACATGATTATGGGTAAAAATTGTAGCCGTCAGAAATACGAATTATGCCTAGAGAACGGATCTCAAACATTAAGGTACTAACTGAATTCAAAAGTGTACCATACAGATGAAAGAAAGGTGGCAAACAAAAAAACACTCCCACAAACAACTCAACTTGTTCAAAGTAGAGTTTATGCCGAAACACAAAATGTGCAGATCGGCTCTGAGCCTCTGACTCTTAGAGCCTGTCTGTCTATTAAGATTGTCTGGCTAAAATGATTGAATTGCCAAAATTCGTGAAAGATTTTTCTTTTTTTGGTTTATTCTAAAAGCAGAATATGCTAATGTATGCTACCAAATGAGGCCCTAGTGAAAGTGTTGTACAAATTTAAGCTACGTACCAAGAAATATGGCGATGGCCCATCTTTGAATCCTCCATCTCTGCTATTTTCTTCCGACTTGCTTGTTTCAAGTCCTTAACTGTTGCTGAATTCAGGACAGCCACATCTTCAAGATAACCCACATAAGAATTCATTCATATACCCATTACTAACATTCAACGCATCATTAGATGGAGATTGACAATGGAGAGATCATGAGTACCGATTGATGTGTTGTCCAATTTAAGGATCTTTATCCGCATAGCACTGCCAAGTTCCAAGCTTATCAGGGTGTCTACATCAGAGAATAATGGTTTCTTGGGGACATCAGCAAGTATGGGATCATTAAGGAGAGCAGTCAGTGTTGAATGTAGCCGTGCCTTCTTCAAGCTGCTACTCTGATAATCTGGTGCAACACTCGTGTCCTTTCTCCTCGTCTCGTCTGACGAAGATTATATTTTTAAAGGCAAGCATTTTTATACTGTGCATGTGGTTATATGGTTTATGCAATTATGTATGACCATGTGTTTGTGTCTATATATAAATATATTTATACACTAAGATTATCTTCAAAGGAACACATATTATAAATCTGCAAGCTTATCACTCTTTCTCCAAACTCCCACCTCAATTCTCCAAAGGTCCAGTGCTGGTGACCCATTGTTCTATACTCCTATAGCACAAATGTTTTTGAGATTCATATGCTTGTGACAACAACTACTACAACAAGTCTAGAAGAGTCCTACATAGTTGGGTATGTGTACGCTGACCTTACCCTGTCTAGAAAGTAAACAGGTTGTTTCCAAGAGACCCTGGGCTCAAAATACAGGAGCACGGCAATAAGGGAGAGAAGCACGAACAAAAAAAACAGATAAAAAGCAAGGCTCAAAGGACTACCCTACCACCTTAATCCTAGACCTCCAAACACTCCTATCTAAGGTCATATCGCCTGTAAGATCCCATCATCCTGAACTCATAAGCATGTGTACTCACCTCCTTCTAAGTCTTCTTCAGTCTATCCCCACCCTTCCTCACACACCCTACATCAAGCCGCTCACACCTCCTCAATAGGACATATGTACTCCTCCAGTGTATGTGTCCAAATAATCTCAATCTAACTTCTCGCAATTTATCCTCTACAAAGCACATACCTCAAATATCCTCGTTCTGGATCCTCTCCATCCTCGTATGACCATACATTGATCTAAGCATCCTCATCTATGCCACTTGTACCCTCCAAACCTAAGCATCATACTATCCTTCAGTGTTAAACACTCTAATAACATAGCTGGTTTGACTACAACTCGGCAAGACTTTCCTTTCACATTTGTCAATATCCTTTTGCTGCAAAGAACACATAAATGATGGATGGATCTGAGGTATCAAAACTTTTCTTACGTAGTCTATCTTTAACCTACTTAATCTGAAACCCTTGGATTCCAAGGTATGTCTCCACTCTCCACATTGCCAATCTATCGTTGAGTCTAACTCTTACCTCGTCAATGAGAACAATGGTATCCGCAAACAACATGCACCAAGACACCTCTCCTGAATATGTTGCGTCAAAACATCGATCACCAAATAAAACAAGAAAGGACAAAGGGCAAACCCATGATGGCGGCCTCACCTTAGTCCTTGTCCCATTCTTGTGCAATAAACAATAACATGTAAAATACATTTATAAAGGAAGATAATGAAAGTAACTCTCATTAGACTACATAAACACTACAACAAGATATTGTGCATCCTCACAAATTGACAAACCGAAATGGTATGAAATAGGATAATCATCTAAGGGTCTACTTGGATGAAAAATTATAAAAGAGAAAAGCTTTGGAGGATATAGTCAACGTTTTCATTCATTTATCATATATCCACTATTCTTTTTGACCCCCCACCCACACACCTTTTCTATCTCAATCCTTTTTCACCATTTTAGTTACTAAGCATATTTTCATAAGGAGCATGGTTCTTATCCCTTGCACCTTGTTTGGTTGGGGGCCCGGGGAATGAAAGATGATATTGTTGTTGAATGAAAAAGACACAAGTTTCATTTACACTCATGAATTAAGTACGATTGTACGAGTAATATATAAAACCATTACAAAATACTTATTTTACAGTACTTAGTTTTATGTTTCATTTGTAATGTTTTACACAGATTTGCCTAACGATTCAAACGACCCAATATCAATACCTAATTTTTGCTTTCAATTTCACCGCTAAGAAAAAAAATTAATATTTCAACTTGAGTAAAACTGTCATTCAAATTTCACATTCAAATCCCTAAATATGATTTCAACATACTAAATTGAGAGCAGAAATTATAACACCTCAATGTTCTTTTGCACAAAAACTTAATTAAATCCATGATTGAAACAAGATAAGGTTAGAAATTAAATCTGCAAACTCAAAATCAGTGTAGGAACTCACAAATAGTCGGTTACAGATTAAAAGATCGGGAAAGATAACATACCTTGAGGAAGTTGGCGGTGTTTGTTTCCCGCCTGCATCTGCCCGGCTTGCGTCGCAATTAGAGTGTGAATCGAAGAGGGTGAAGCTTATCGTCTGCGTCTGCCGTAGCAAACATCACAAACTGCAATTCCTGCTGAAAACTGAGTAGAGGAGTAGAGGCAGGGGTGGGCAAAAAAACTGAGCCGTTCATAGTGTTTTTCATTACCACTGAGTAGAGGTAGGGGTGGGCAAAAAAAAGTACCTTACAGGACCATAATTGGTATCCAATAGTGTTTTTAAATAAGATTGATTTTTTTCATTACGAACCGAAACCGAACCGATATCAAACGGGATGGGACCGTGTTACAAATATTTAAAATCAATTATCACGAATCGAGTCGTTCAAATCTATATAAAGAGTATCTCAGTACATCACAAATTATCACGAACCGAGCCGTTCAAATAATTATTTGTCTACTTTATTTTATAGTATATGGAGTACTTTGTATGGTACTGAGTATTATTTATTTTTAAAATTCTTTTATGAATTGAAAAAAAATCTATTTCAAAAAATTAAACTCTTCATCTTTTATTTTTTATGTTTATGATGTTTTTAAATTTGAAATCAATACTTCTATTTAACAAAGTCGTGCTTTTGTATACAAAATTATGCTTTTATTCTGATATTTTTTAGTGATTTTTTTTGGCACGGTTTGAACATGGTTATGGTATTGTATCGTTCCGTTTCGAAATGAAATGGTACCGAATGATTTTAGGGTTCATACCGTACTGATACCGAACCGTTTACATAAGAGCGGTCCGTGATAGGTTCCGGTAATATCACAGACCGTCACGGACCGCGCCCACCCCTAAGTAGAGGAAGAAAAGGTATTCGGTAGAGATCGGACCGGATTGGACTATCCACCAGACTAGATTGGACTATTGGTCTTTAAGTTGCATTCTGTTTGCCTGATCTGATCTAATCTAATTTTTTGAAGATCTGATCTAATCTAGTATGATCTGACATGGTCTCATCTGATCTGATCCGGTGTGATCTGATTGCAGTTATAATTAAAGTTAAATGTGATCTAGTTTGACCTGATATGCTCTGATCTAATCTAATCATAACAAAAATAAGTAATAAGCAGAAAAAATAAGTTGAACGAAATGCTGCCTTATTTGGTCTTTGATTTTGATAAGAAGACCAGACAAGTTAGGACCTGATCTTTAAAAAGACTAGTTAGTTCTAGTCTTTTACTGTAGTCTTTTTCCAAAGACCAGCCTAGTCTGATTGCATCGATCCTTTTGCTCATCTCTACTAGATACTAGGTATTTTTATGGGATATAGGTGGTCTTTTCTATTTTACAAAAAGCACAATATTTTCATTTATTTTCATAATGCTGATAAAATATATTAAAATCTATCAAAATCTTATAAAAACATAAAATACATTAAAATCTATGCGTAGAACTAAAATACTTCATTGAATTTACAGAATCCATGGATGCAAAACAATATATCAAAATCTTTTAAAATTTAAATGGAATACACCCCCTAAGTGTAACTCATTAAGGCTTTATTTTTGTTTGTTAGAATTTCAGATATTGAAAAAATTAAAAGAAAATACGAATTAGAAAAAGATAGAAAAAGTTCCAAAATATTAGAAGAATTAAAGTACATAACTATACAACTCCTTCAAATTATTGACTCTCAAATAATATAAGAAGACTAGAAGAGTAATTCATTTTAATTTCTTCCAATAGTGAAAGCTCCTCTTTAGTATTCTCACGTCAAACTAATATTTCATTCGTCCTAAATGATATTTCCAGCTCGATTTACGAGATATGGTTAAAATTATTTTCAATTCAATTTATTTGATTATAGATATAAAATTAAAAAATAAAAATTATATATTTTAAAACTACATTAATAATTCTACAAAACAAGAGATGACATGACAATATTATTTTATCAAATAAGTAACGAAAATAGGTATAAAAAATGATTAAAGGTTGACCATGTGAATAGCGATTGAGAAAATCATTTTAGGACGGAGTGAGCATATATTTTTTAATATGTTTATATTGATTATTTAATAAAATAAATTAATCTTGTTATCATTTATTTTTTGTACAATTTTTCATGTAACTTTTTACTATATAATCTGGGTAGTTTTTATTTTTAAATTTCATACAAATTCTTAGCTATGTTGTTTTAAAAATAACTTCAGTCAAACATTGTAAAGCAAAACAGAAAACCCATTTCGGGAGGGAGGAAATATACAAAAATATAAAAATAACACAATAATTCTTTTGTTTAGCGATACACGTACATTTAATTTTATATATACTTCCCCTATATATTTTAAGAGCCTGTTTATTAGGACTAGAAAAAAGAGCTGGATGTTAGAAGAAACTGGAAAAAAACTGAAAGAAACTAGAAAGAACTCGAAGGAACTAGAAAAAACTAAAGGAACTAGAAAAAACTGGAAGGACTCGAAGAAATTAGAAAATTTTCAAAAAGTTAGAAAATCTAAAAAAAAAACTTTAGAAAAATTAATTTTAATGTATTTTTATATTATTCTGATTCAAATTCTTGTTGTTATAGATTATTATTATTATTATTGTTATTGTTATTGTTATCATCATCATCATCATGTTATCTTAATGAATGCCTTTAGGATAAAAAAATATTACTCTGTATTAATTTTCAAATACAAAAAACTACTTTTGCAAAAACAATAATTATAATAAAAAGTTAGCATAAATATCAAAATGTTAAATTTTAAAAAGTTTTTGTGCTTACGTTGCACCTCAATTTATTTATACTGTATTTATTATAAAGAATATATTTGTAATTATATTCTTTATAATTACAAATAAAGAATAGTTTTCGATTAACGTTAGTGTTTTGGATAAATTTTTATTGGTTTTGAATAATTCTTAAAACGCTAACGCTACAGACTCCTACGTGCTCCTAAACATCACACGTACTCTTTGCATGAGTCACGCCAGAGGAGTGTTGTTCCTAACAAGAATCACACTCTTTTCATGAACTTTTAAACTATGTTGGAAAAAAAAATATGACGTTAAAATGTCTTGTGATCACATATTGTTTTTTTAAGAGAAAATTTAACTGATTTTCTTTGTGACGTAAGACAAAGGTTAATGAAAAAATATTTGTGGAACAATGGTGTTGGTTAGTTATTACTTGGTTTATAATTAGATTTGGAAGAAATGAAGAATTTTGTCTGTAAAAAAATCAAAAATTGACTAATTAGTTGATGGTTTTATTTTACGAAACATGTAATTTATTAAAGATTGGTTAGTGATTAAGAGTTTGTTCTTTAAGACTGGAAAAAAGAGTTAGATGTTGGAAGAAATTGGAAAAAACTGGAAGAAACTGGAAGAAACTGGAAGAAACTAGAAAAAACTAGAAGGAACTGGAAAAAACTAGAAAGAATTGGAAAAAACTAGAAAAACTTCAAAAAATTGAAAAACCTAGCTAAAAAACTTTAAATTCTTGTTGTTATAAATTATTATTATTATTATATTTATTATTATTATTATTATTATTATTATTATTATTATCTTTTATTATTATTATTATTATTATTGTTATTATTATATCATCATCATCATCACGTTATCTTAATGAATGCCTTTAAGATACAAAAAAAGTGTTTTTATTTTTCAAATAAAAGAAACTACTTTCGCAAAAAAATAAATATAATATAAAGTTAGCATAAATATAAAAAAATAAAAATTTTAAAAAGACATATAACTTTTTTTTACATTTTTTATGTTTTACTCCTATTTTAGTCTTTTTCTCTAAACTATTTTGACTTGCAATTTTTTTATAAAAATTAGAAAAATAGAAAAATTTTAAGTAATAAAGGGAAAAGTGAGAGGTCTTATATAAAGTTAGTTTATAAAAAATTCTATGTCACTGTTTTATCCATAATTTTTAAATATAGTTTAACATATTGATTTTTTCATGTTTTATCATGTAGATTAATATACAAAAAATTGTCTTATTCATATTAAAAAGCTGAAGAAAAAATAATGAGTGCGAATCGTAAAAATAGTGAGATGAAAAGAATAATTTATAAACTATAGTTATGAAAATAACAGTTGTAATAATAATAATAATAATAATAATAATCACATTAAAAATATATCATTTTTAGAGTAATTGGTTGAGGAGTATAAAGATTTTGAAGAAAATCAGAATAGTTGGTAGAAACTGGAAGAAACTGGAAGAAATTGGAAGGAACAGGAAAAAACTGAAAGGAACTGCACTTTTAGAGGTACTCTTGTTGGTTAAAATGTCAAGTCACATTAATATATGTATGTATATATTTATGTATATATAGACACAGGGGCAGACCCAGAACATTTGAACCATGGAGTCGTATTTTAGACTGCTTGGTTCAATAAAAAAACAAGTGACCATCTGCTTGGTTCAATAAAAAAACAAGTGACCATCCATTTGATTCTATTTTTACTGCGTATTATGTTAACTGTTAACATTTCCACTACAAAAAATTCCCGGAATTGGCACGGAATATTAGGCACGGATATGGCCGTGACTACGCCGAGAAAAGAAAGTAGCCACATGACGTGTTTCTATTTGCGTTTTAATTTGGCTCTGCATTTGTCCGTGCCTAATTCCGTGCCAATAGTGAAAACGTTAAGACGTTAACGGTGTTGTCGGACGGCGTTTATTCTAACCAATATGCACGGATTTAGCTGTTCCAATTCCTTACCTTTCTCATAAAGTTCAAAATCGAAAAGGACAAGACTGTTTTGTCATGGAAATAGCCGTGCCTAATTCCGTGCCACTCTCCGTATGACATAATTTTATTTATTTAAACATTCAAATCATACTCATAAAAAAAACTTTTATCTTTTAAATATATTAAAATCGGAAGATAACAAAACTAAAATTAGAGAAGAGTACAGGATACAACTTTTTTTAGATGAAATAAAGAAAGAACTACAATAATAGAAAATTATAAAAACTTATCCAAATAAAATAACTACATCTATCGTACTTATCCAAATAAAACAACTACATCCTAAAGTTTTTGTACTAAAGTTTTCTACTCCCTCCGTCCCAAAATATAAGCAACACTCCACTATTTAAAAATCACGGGAATTTTATTTATTTTTGCATTTTCATTGATTATTTGATAGAATAAAATATTCTTGTCAGCACTTGTTTTGTAGAACTTTTGACGTAGTTTTTAAATATGTAATTTTTTTTATTTGTAGACCATTCTTTAAATAAAATGGATTGAAAAAATTCAAAAAATTACTTCGTTTAGCGTAATGTTGCTTATATTTTGGGACGGAGGGAGTATAAATGTTTTGTACTATAAAGTAATTGGAAGTAGTTCACATTGCAATAATTGCAGTTCACCATTTCTCTATATACGAAACCATTTCATCCAGAAACATACGGAGTATTTCAATTTTCTTACATCCATCCAGGTACGATATATTTTTGGATTTTTAATTTCATTACATTCATTCAGTAAGTGTGTGTAATATGAATTTTCATTTCAGTAAGTATGTGTTTAATATGTTTTTTTGGCGTTTTAGTTTCATTTCATCCATTACGCGAGTGTTTAATATTTATACATAATTTACGTGAAAAAACATCTTCTATCTCGCTAATAAATATAGTTAATTGATGATTTATTTACAATAATGTACATTTTGTAAATTTGAATTCATTTTAATATATAGATTTGCTATTTAAAAGAGTTATTACAGTTAAATATTTTAAAATTCTGAAACTTGTGACATTCCGTACTAGGCACGGCGGGTATAGTGCCTAGTGAAGATTCCCTGACATGATTTGATTTTGATTTGATTTTAATTGTGTGCCTAGTCCGTGCCTAAAATTATTCTGTCTTTTTTCATTGATTTTAGGATATAAAATTATTCTTGTCTTTTTTTAGACATTCTTGTAATGATTTATTTTTTAAAAATTTTAATTTTTCTAGCACTTGTATGAGTCCATGATACAGATATAGTAGATCTTCAACCTACATGTTGTTTTTACGAAACTAATTTGCGCCAAACTGTGCACTTATAGAACTACCACATCTTCTTAAATAATGTAAACGTTCACGGGTTTGACTTAAAGAACTATCTCTCTTTTAAGCTACAGGAACACCCTTTACATTTTTAATGTACTTTGTTACTGAAGATGACTTGCGTTGGCATTTACAAGCGACGCCGTCTCTATCGTTGGCACGGATTAGAAGTCCGTGCCAAACGGTTTGGAGCTTCGAAATTGGCAGCGTTTCGTATCCGTGCCAAACTCCGTGCCTAATACCATAGCCACGGGAAACTAAAACTACATTCCGTGCCAAAAGCCGTGCCAATTCCGCATTTTTTTGTAGTGTAATTCTTTAAGTTTTTTTGTTATTCTAATTTGTTGTTTTGCGCATTTTGTGATATATGAATTGAATATTGAGTGGCCCTGAACTCTTTAGAAATTGCACGACTTACACTCAAACATTGAAATAAAGACGATAATTTTGGGGAAGAGTACTTTGGAGAATTCACAATGGTCAGATGAATCATACTCACAATTCATTCTCGTACGTGGTAGCAACACACTCGATATCTAGTATTTTAAGACCACCGTAACGGAGCAACGTTTTCAATTGTTTAGGGGTATTTGGTGTATTTTTTATGTTCAGGGATAAATCGTGTAATTTTTGAAGAGTACGGGGATAAATGGTGCAATTTTTAATCTTAAGAGGTAAACAATGCAATTTCCAAAGAATTCGGGGTAAACGGTCCACTTTTCTCAATTTGAAAATGCAAAGAAAGAAATTATGTTCTCTCATCGAAAGAGAAAGAAAAAAGGATGAACTAAAATAATACCGAGTAACTTATTAAAAAAAAGAGCAAGTAAATTAATAAAGATGAATGGTATGTTAAAGTAAATATACACGGAGTATGAGGGTCATTTTACAATATTTCCAAGTGCTGCGTATTTTATAATGAAAATTCCATTTTTATTTAAGATTGGTTCGTGATTAAGACAATACAACACTCTTTGTAGAGGTAATGTTGTTGGTTGAAATGTCTACATACTATGATTATTACTATCTACCTAATATGGAAATATAAACTTAGTTGAGCCTGAAAATTACTTCATCCCCGTTCTAAAAAAACGCTTCGTCTTTCATTTTTTCCACTTCCAACAAAACACTTCTACTTTTTATTAAAAAATCATTTTTACCCTTATTTTTTCATACCCTACCTTTCACATCATGCCTTTTCTCTAATAAAATATTCATCACATCTTACTTTTAACCATCACATCAAGGGCAAAATTGGAAATCAACTACAATTTAATACTTTCTTATTTTTACACTTAGTCAAAATAAGAATTCTTTTTGAGAAGAGAGGGAGTAAAAGTTATACTCTTGGAAAAGTGATTATTATTTTAAAATTATTTTTCCAAGTGTATTTTTTGTGTCCGACTCCCAAGCGGATGCCGAGTCTCACATGAAATACAACCTCAAATACAAAGTTAATTGGAATAACCTCGATATTTGTTGGTGGGGGCCGGACGTCGGTGCTATTTAAGTAAATTTCTCATTTTCATATGCATCTAGAGACAATGCATTCTTCGCCGGTGCAGTTTTGGCAACCGACTACTTTGTTCATATCCATTATGTTTGTTTATTGTTATGCTTTTCACAATAGGATCTCTTTGGCGGAATCTTTTGCCACGTCATATCCCGGTAGGAGAAATTCCAACGACGACGACGAGGAGGAGGGGATCACCGTTGAGGTGGCGGGTGATGTGGATCGGAGTTTGCAGCGGGGGTGGAGGAAGGGCACAGAGAAGCTCCCAACGATCCACCAAGGAATATTGAGGTTATTCCAATTAACTTGTGTTCGAGTTGGGGTTTCATCGGAGTCATCGCGCTTGGAAAAACAACGAAGAAAATAATAACTTTTTCAAGAGTAGAAGTTTTTTGAGTCGCCATAATTGGATTGAGTTCTTCTTTTAGTTTCTTATGGAGCTGGTGCGGATAGAAAAAAAAGGCAACAAGAGAGCTGTAGGGAAAAAAACTTTGGAAGGAATGGAGGGAGTATCGAATCCCTTTAAATAGGCCGACCCAAAAGGATTGGATATTCCCTCCGTCTCAAAAATATTTTTCCTCTCTTGACTTTTTTATCCCCGCGAGCTCCACAAAAAATCAAATGAAGAATTCCAATTATGACGGCTAAAAAAAGTTTTACTCTTGAAAAAGTTATACTCCCTCCGTCCCCCATAGATCTTCCCAATAGCCCTTTTTCTTTGTCCACAAAAGATCTTCTCATTTCATTTTTTAACAATTAAAATACCACAACTACCCCCACTTACTTTATTTATTATACCTCACCCACCTCATTTAATACACTCCAACCATTTTCATTAAAAGTATTATGGTAAACTTTCACCTTTTTTCAACTCTCCTTAAAAACTACCAAAAGTCAAAATGAGAACATCTTAGGGGGACGGAGGGAGTATTATTTTCCTCATAATTTTTCCAAATGATATCATGTGTCGTTGCACAAACGCTCACTCCGAGAAGAATGTCGAGCCTCATCACATGAAACACCAACTCAAATACGAGTTAATTGGAATAGCCTCGATATCTGCAGAGGACATGAGCATTTTAAACTCGGCATGCAGATTTCATGAGTGCTAGATAGACTGTACCGGGAATATAACCGAAGACGTACCCCAAGGCTTATAAATTTCTCACAGAGGCACGGGGAAGTCAGGTTCTCAAAGGGAGCGTTGTCCGGGATGAATCCGGTGGCTGGAATCACCCGGGGAGCAAACGCCTTCCCCATGAAGAAGAAGAAGAAGAAGAAGAAAGCTCTTGCCGGCCGGACTCATACACCAAACCAAGGAGGAGGTTATGAGCATGAGAGAATGTTACTCATGTTCTTTTTTAATTCCTACTCGTCACATACTCTTTGCATGATCGAGTCGTAGTCACGCAAGAAGAGTTTTGTTCCTAACCTTCGTCATGATTTATTATTGTTTTCTGTTTACTTTTACTTTTAGCTTCCTATGTCTTGAATTATATTTGTCTCATTCCAAAAAAAAACCTTTAGTTTACTTTTTATCCAATTCTTTTTTTTTTTAAATTATGGTACCAAAATAATAAAAAAAAATTAACATATAAAAAAATAACATCATGAGCTCCATAAAAAAGGAGGTGGTTGACATGAAAATTATGTAGTTTAAAAAAGAGAATGAAAAAAAACTAAACTAAGAGCAAAACATTGAAAATGTATCAAAATATAGGAGCTCTATTTTTTACACCCAAAATAAGATCAAAACGCTGATATATAGTCCAAAAATACAGTGGGTTGCCACTATGCAATGTCATTATGTCAAAGTATAAACTTTTATTTTGAAAATAAAAATATAAAACTCTTATTTTTAGAATAAGTGTTGCACCCTCCATTCACTAAAACTCTTCCTTTTTTTTGCGGCACAACTAATCTAAAAGGGGTGGGGTGGCAAATGACGATTCAATTAGGTACGTTGATGGCGACGGTGGAGATTGTAAAAATGAAGAAGCTATTCCGGGGAGATAGGGGAAAGGGCGGATGATTTTTACCCAACTTTGGTTTTTTTATTTGGGCAGCGCTGGGAATGCGTATACACCCAGTGCAAGTGTGCAACACATAATGTTTTTATTTAATTTAAATTTAATTCCTACTTTGGACATATAAGTTAAGAACTCCTATTTTAGGAACATTTTGAAGGGTTCTCTTTTATATTAAACATCTCTCAAGAGTGTTTTACACTTTCATTTTATTAAACTCACTCCAACCATACCTTCTATATAATACTTTCTCCGTCCCAAAAAATTCTTCTTTGTTTTTGTGTCCCACAAATTCCTATCTTTTGCAGTTGCCAAATCGGGGATCCAATGGGGGCTGGGGTGGGGTCGGGGTGAAATTAATGGGGTGGGGGTTTTGGGAGATGGAAAATATTAATTTTACAAATGGAGCATCCTAGGTGCCCAAAACCACTGGTGTCACGATGTTACACCATTTGAAATGATGTAATGGACCATTGCGTGATCAAATAAATACATCGGTACTTGTGAGTTTTCAACTTGCAGATCAGCTGCGCAAGGGAACCTAAGTATATATCAATAATAAAGAGGTAGCTACACAAACAAGAAGAGAATCAAGAGACAGTCTATTCATTCTGGCCTCCAGCAGAGGACATGGAAATGGTGTACCTGTGCTTGAGGAAGGATTTAATGAAGGGATCCAACTCTCCATCCATTACAGACACGATGTCGCTGGTTTCGATGCCCGTCCGAACGTCTTTCACTAGCTTGTATGGATGGAACACATAGTTCCTTATTTGTTGGCCCCACTCCGCCTTCACCGCATCCCCTCTTATTTGCTTTATTTCAGATGCTCTTTGTTCCTCCGCTATCACTAACAGCTTCGCTTTCAATCGGCTCATTGCCTTTATCTTGTTTGCTAGCTGCGTTCTCTCCTCTGCATCATCATCATTTCAAAACCAGGCAAAGGGAGCACAACCATTCTTACAAAGAAATAGAGAATGATATTTTAACACCATAACCTATCTAAAAGTATCCAATTATACGTAGGACGGTGGGGTGGACGATAAGGAGCAGGGGGCTGGGGTGAGTGGGTTGGGCCCGGGGGTAGCAGGGTAGAATC